CCAGGGTCTGTGAGGAAGCGAGCCGAGAAAATGGGAACATGGAACAAAATAAAATAAAATCCTCCCTCTGGCTTCCTTGCTCGCCTGCTCCCGCTCCCTGTCTCGCTCTCCCTCTTTCACTGTTTTTCCATCTCTCCCCCCCCCCCCCCACCGACTCTCAGTCTCTTTTTCTGTCTCTCAGTCTCTTCCTCACTGTTTCTAATTTTCCTTTTATGATTCTATTTTTCTCCCTGTTTATGTCTCTGTGGTCCTTTCCCCTCTATCCTTCAGGTTGTCTGTCTCCAGCTGTGGGTGGGAGTGGGGGTGAGGGGAAGCAGGGTGACACGGAGCCCCTCTTTGTCCAGAACCCATGGTGCTGTCCTCCCTCTTCGAGGACGAAGATGGGAGCAGGGTATTGTCCGAGCAGGGTCCCCCTCAGTCCACGCTGGTTTAATTAAGCTAATTAAACGCGGTGACATTTGCGGAGGGGAGAGGCTGGCCGGGCTGCGGGGTGGGGACGGAGGGGGTGCGCAGAGGTGTTTGGTGGCAGACAGGGATGTGGGGGTGGGTGGGGGTGCGCGTCACCAGGTGCCTCCAGGCCCATGCCGGGTGGGAGCCGAGCCAGGAGCGCTCTGTCCCCAGGCAGCGAGCCCACGCACTGGAGGGGAGTTGAGGCTGCCTCTTGCTGCTTAACAAACTCCATTGGGGGGGGGGGGTTGTGCTGTTTTGGGTGGGAACGCTGGGAATAGGGGGAGGATGAGACGGTTGGCCCCCAGCCGCATTGCAGGGTGCGCCTCCCTGGGGCCTCCCGCCTGGTCGGTTGCTTCTCCTGCTTCGTGGGTCAGGCAGAGCTGCTTACGATTCCCATGGGGAGGGCTGGCACCCGCGGCTGGGGAAGGAAGCGTGCTCTGGCCTGGGCTGGGGAGGAAGAGGGGAGAGTGTCCTGAGACCTTGCACCTAGAAATAGGCGGGGGCACTGCAGTCAGGGCGGGCGGAGCAGCTGGGAGCTGGCTGGGACCCAGGGACGGAGGCAGGAGTGAAGACAGAAGTGGGGAGGACAGGACAGGCTGGGAGAGGAGTGGCACAGAAATGGAGGGGCACTGGGAGTGTGGGCCTGGAAGGCCGGGCACTGGGTACAGTGATGAGGAAGAAACAAGAGTTGCTCAGGGGTGAAGATGGGAACAGGGAGGAAGAGATCAGAAATGGTGGGTGGGCATTGGGCAGAGCCGGATGCCAGAGGGCGGGACCAGGGGAATGGGATGGGAACCAAAATGAGGATGGGGGCAGGGATGGTGGATGAGGGATGGGCTTTGGGGAAGGGCAGGAGTGAGAAAGGGACGGGGGTGTAGGATGGGGGGCAGGGATGGTGGATGAGGGATGGGCTTTGGGGAAGGGCAGGAGTGAGAAAGGGACCAGGGGTGTAGGATGGGGGGCAGGGATGGTGGATGAGGGATGGGCTTTGGGGAAGGGCAGGA